ACCCTATAAATGCCAGAAGCCTAAGTTACTGAGGCTCCCTTTCCCCCATCTTCACACTGGAGTCTCTTTTCCCTTCAGCCTTCTCCTTCATCCTGGTGCTATTCTGTGATCTTCAACACTTACTACATACTATGAGGTGTTTGCTTGGCAATTCCTTCCTTTCTGCACACAAGAACCTAAGCTGTTTTCGGCCTACTCAACTGTAATAATCCTACATTCTGTCTTCTCCGAGACAGAATTGTGTCTTTGAGCCTAGAGTGGGCAATTTGGTGTTTAGGGAGAACCTCTCTCAAAAAATTAAAAAAGATCTGCAGACAAAGGCCCTGGGTTCAATCTCCAGTACCATACACACAAAAAGGTGGGTAGCTGAGCACAGTGGGGCACGCCTATAATCCAAGCTACTTGGGAAGCCAGGGGAAGTGGACAGCAAGCCCAAGATCCACCCGGGCAACTTAGTGAAACTGTCTCAATACAAAATATGGGAAAGTGCTGGGGATGCGCCTCAGGGGTACAGCACTTGCCCAGCGCATGTGAAGCCCTAGGTTCAATCTCCAGGACTAAAATAAAAAGGCAGAGAAATACTGTGACCTGCAAAGAGTACCAGTAAAGAACATAATCATTAAAGCAGCTGGTGAGGGAGCCTGGCAGTAGGATGGTTGCGGAGTTATCCTCAGCCCAGGCCCACGCTCTCTAGGGCCCCTGAGGCAGAGCACAGGGACTGCTCTGGGACGCTGGGCCTCTACTCCACGCTGGTGCCAGGTCCAGGCAAGGGACAAGCACAGGCTGGCTTTCTTACTCAGTTTCCTCACAGCTGTTTAGCTTCCAACTCAACTGGCAACTCCAGGAGAATATAGCTACTCTGATTTTGGGTATTTGCAAGTTGGTTTCATTTTGCCCTAAAATCACTAATTCATTTTTAAAAAATCTATAACCACACTGTGGCAGCAGCTTTATAGTTATAGAGCATAAATATATATATATATATTTTGTTTATTTCTTTTTTTTTGGACAGGGTCTCACCATGTAATCCAGGTTAGCCTTGAACTTACTATGTATGTAGCCCAGCCTGGCCTCAAACTTGCAGCTATCTTCCTGCCTCAGCCTCCTGAGTGCTGGTACTACAGGCGTGCACCACCAGGCACAGCAAGAAAATACATTTTAAAAGTACTCTTTCCCAAAGTGTCTTGAGGTATGAGCAGGAATTACACAAGCCCTCATACCACAATGTAACAAAAGTAATTAGCATTATTCTTATTTTATAGTCTGGGAAAGCTAAACTATAGAAAGAAAGGATTTGGGCCAGGGATGTAGCTCAGCAGTACAGCATCTGCCTGAGAAGCACAAGGTCCTGAGTTTGATTCACAGTACGAACGAAAGGGAAAGGGAAAAGGAAAGGGAAGGGGAAAGGGAAAGGGGAGGGGAAAGGGAAAGGGAAAGGGAAAGGGAAAGGGAAAGGGAAAGGGAAATGGAAAGGGAAAAGGGAAATGGAAAGGGAAAAGGGAAGGATTTGCTTTGACATCAAGAAGTTAGCCAAACATAAGACAGGGCTGAGGGAGCTCTCAAATGCTTCTGTAGTATGGCATTGTTTGAAGAGCAAAAGACTAATCAATGTCCATCAACAAAAA